ATGTACTTTTGTCTTCACATAACCAACATAATGCCTCCCCAATACCATTGTTATTATCAAATGAAAACGCAGCGGGGATGCTCTCGTTGAATTTGAGATGCTATTTGTGGCGAAGTAAAGAATAGAAACTTACAACATCGGACGGCAAGGGACAGATGGCGGCCGGGTTGCCTTTGAAGGGGACGTCAGTGAAGGCATCGACAGTGTAGAGCTGGAGGGTGACACTGGCCATGTTCTAACTTCAGTGTTTTACACAGTGTTGTACACAACAGAAGCCGGCGACTGGGCTGTGTGTGGCCTGACCTATATTAGCCTTGATAAGGGGCCGCAACTACAGTGCTGTCGGAAAAACATTTCTGGCTCCATTTAACAAATCCGAATCTATGAACATGGATTATATCAAAATGACGCAAATGTATCTAATCCAGCCTGTCCTAACTGACATTGTGATTAGCCTAAAAAGGTACCTTTGCGGGTATTTCTTTAAGAGTATTGTTTTTCTTTAGCCAGCACATGACTCAGCTGATGACGTTTCTGAATCTGTACTTTCACCCAAAGATATAACTGGTGCACCAAGGCTGATATCAATGCCGTCACGTTGGAGATACTGCCGTTCTATGTCAGGAACGTGATCGTAGGCCTCTTGCCATGCCTCTGGTGTGATCCTAGCATACGCTGCGTTGATCAACCATTTGATATGTGTGATTTTGAATGTTTTAGTATGTCTTGCCACGAACCCTTTTCAGTTAGCCCAGATAACCTCAATAGGGTTGAGCTGATTTCTAACTGGCGTACGTAAAACAACGTGATCGTATTGTGCCGCCAGGACATATGTCTTGTACTTTACTGGTTACTTATTCAGGCGAATTTTCTCAGTGAGTTGAACTTTCTTTTCAGATGGTCTGAGGTAGATATTCCTGCATGGTCACCTTCAGACTACTCGTGGTTGGCACAACAGTATCTGGTTCCCGGGCGTTATGATAACTGGTGTTATCCATGACAGTGACACTGGGATTGCTTAGATTGGGTAGAAGCTGATGTTCCAACCAGTCTCAGAACACATCACCATTCATTTCCTTATGATAATCACCAGTTTTCTTTTTCTCCTCGAAAACTAAGCCCCAGATCACGGTTCCGGCGTGCAAGACAATGACCTGATGGCACCATGGGTACTTTTCGTCCATCTGACGGCAGCCACATGTGGTCAGTGCAATGATTCTCATTCACCCAAATTTCACCAAGGTAAATAACCTGGAAGCCCTGACTGCGATAGTCATGAATGGTGCGTAGATAATGGGACCCCATAGACAGGATAGAATATTTCCCCCTGACAAAACTGCTCAGTCATTGCCACGTGTAGTGTATCGAAATTCAGTCTCTTGGATAGCATACATTAATGTGGCCAGGGATTGTGTCTTTGATTTCCTCCCGAATTCCACAAGAATAGAGTACACCCTATCTAAACTAACAAATAATAATAATCTCTCTCAAGCGTAAAAAGCATGTATACATTTTCCACTACAGACTCTATGCCGTGTACCATGACTATGGCAATGCAAGTGTAATTGAACACATCCCCTCAATGGACATAATAATCTGAACTTGCTGTTTTCTTTCTAATTTTTGTTCCGTAAAATTGTCGATAGGACTATTTGGGACTGAAATACTTCAAACCACAGGTGGGGCGGTCGGGTAGCCTAGTGGTTAAAGCGTTGGATCGTCACGCTGAAGACCCGGGTTCGATTCCCGACATGGGTACAATGTGTGAAGCCTATTTCTGGTGTCCCCCGCCGTGATATTGCTGGAATATTGCTAAAGCGGCGTAAAACCATACTCACTCACTCACTCACTCAAACCACAGGTAGATCGGTAGTTACTCGATCTTTCAATAGCAACAGTCCACGAATTCTTATCTTGCTTCAACGGCCAAAAACCATTTTTCTAGCATTCCGGACAGAACCTTTTTTAGGACACAGTACCAGTCTAAATAGCAACAGTATCAACTTATCTAATACTGCAACCAAATAAAAGATATGCTTATTAGTAATGTGTATTGTACTAATATGATATTATTTACTCATTTAATAATATCATGACTTAATTTAATATTACCAAATACTTAAAGATATCATAAAATAAATACCGATAACATGAAAATAATTAGTGATATCAGTAAGAGATGTGAACTCGGCTTGTTGTACGACAGCTGAGACCTTGCCAGGATGCACTTTGATACACCATTACTCTAAACTGTCTATTTAGCTCACCTGGCCGAACGCCAAGTGATAGTATGTCATTTCTTTTTTGTTTTTGTATATTTTTATTCCAAGCAGCATGTCTCTTTCCTTTCCATCACACATTTCATGACCCTGTTGTCCGCTGGATTCGAATATATTTCCAATAATCGAGGTGTTGTCATCGGTGGGAACAAAACATTCCACGCACACCGTGACCATATATACTCTGCAAAATAAGAAACGCTAAAGTAATAAAATCGTAAATATCTGAAACAGTGTTGCCGACATCCATACAAAATTAATACCAAAAATAAAATTCATTTCTGGGATTGATTTGTCTGGAAACAGGGGTAATGCAGAAATTTGGTGAAACTCGCAAAAACACAACCATGTGATAGCCTGGCGCCGAAACACACCAACATGACATGCACGTTAAAGATCACTTGTTGGGCTATAAAACGTTAGAAAAAACCCAATAGGTTTTAACGGCGGTCTGAACATAATAGAGTCTGGACTATGAGGAGGCATGAGCGTCGATCCACGCAAATGGGATATGATGCCATGCATCAACCAAGTCAGCGAGCCTGACCACCCGATCCCGTTAATCACCCCTTACAAGTATGGGTTGCTAAAGACCACCAAAAGACTTGATGGTGATGTGACTTGAAGGACCAATGTACATGGACGTGTATTGCCATAATGAAATACTGTAAATCTTGAAATTAATGAGTCTCCAAATTAATACGACTGCTGACCCGTAACCAAACAATGCGACTCAATATTAATGCGACTTCCCCCCATCCCCAGTGGAATGATATATATCCTTACCTTAATCCAATCAAACCGCTGAGTAGAGCACTTCCGTAAAAAACAATAAACTGTGTTTTCCTAAAAACAACACACAGTATATATGTTTATTCTGTTGACTGACATTACGGAAGTTCAAAGGCAATAAAATAAGTGAACAGTTCACTGATTGGTATGTGGAGAAATCGTCAACAAACATGAAGGCAGATGACAGAGAGCTTCACAGCTTATTTGAATTTATTTAAAGCATTGTGACATATCATCATCGGAAGCTATGTGTTTGTATTTGGGTACAGGAAGAAAATACGATTCAGAAACACGATGTGGATAAAAGTTAACCGATCAATACTATGCAAGTGTACATAGTGGTGACTGAGTAACATTGGCAAGTAAGTCATGACGACACATATAGTTTTATTACTGTTCATCATATGTCATAAGCAAAATATAAATTTAAAGAAGACATAACCCCGTGGACCTTATTATTGAATACCAATACCACATTGAATGTTAAATACCACATTATTTGATACAGAATATAATACAATAAACTAGTTGACAAGTTTGTTTTAAAGAATTGTATCTAATAATTTGAGATTGTCCAACAAGGCAGGTGAGATCCGAACTAATTGTACAATCGCCTCAGCCTGTCAATCTGATTATGTTGGAAGAAGGCATGGTAATAGCCTCATCAGATCAGTGCTTGTCGGATGTTAGTGCAACATCCATGGTGAACCTGGCTCTACGCAGTATTTCCACACGGTCGTCTCGAAGTCTCATGATGATGTCGCCTTCACGTTTGGAACACTGTCTCGCTGAAAATGAAACAGAATAATAAACTGTATTTGTTAATGCAAGTAGTGTTCACACTTAAAAATGAATTCTTGAAAAAGTAAGGCTTAACTGTGATGTCATTTGAACATAAATTAGTAGTTTTCAGTCGAGAAAGACTTCTAATAGAAACAATTTGATATTGATACTTGATTCAAAGTAAACATCTACAGACATCTCTCCATGGTTGTCAGGTAGCCTCGTGCTTGAAGCGTTTGATAGTCACGCCGAAAACCCGGGTGGATTCTCCACATGAGAAAGCCTATTTTAGGTATCCCTGCCATGATACTTTTCGAATACGGCAAATGTATTACTACAGATGGTTTACACCAAACTACCAGCACAACTCACTTACCACCAACACCTCACGCATAGATTCTTTCAGCAACATTGAAAGCAGAAACATCAGGCCCATGGGTATCTATTTTGCCTAACTGTTGTGACCAGTAATGCGCATGGCTCGTCTGAGCAGATCCCGTCACCGCAGTTTTGTCCATGGCGAAAAACACCGGTAGAAACAATCATACGGACTGCAGGACTTATCAAGGTATCCGTCCTCAGCAGAGCCTCTTGTGGTAACAATAAGAACTTAATTTGTCTGCAAGTAAACATCGGAATACTTAATACTGATGCTGTATTCATCCAATACTGAGACATGAACCTTCGAAATGTAACTAGATGTAACTAGACCTGTTGTCATCATTGACAATTAATAAATCTGCATTGTTAATGAGAGATATCACAATAATTATTTGATTGACCAGCCATACCGAACAGAGTATGCTCCATAGTCATGTTAGGGGTGGAATAGGTCATCAGCAACCCATGCTTGCCGTAACAGGCGACTATGCTTGTCGTTAGACGCGACAAACGGGATCGGGTGGTCAGGCTCGCTGACTTGGTTGATGCATGTCATCGTATCCCAATTGCGTGGATCGATGTTCATGATGTCCATCACTGGATTGTCTGGTCCAGACTCGATTATATACAGACCGCCGTCAGTAAGCTGGAATATTGCTGAGTGCGGCGTTAAACAACAAACATAGTCATGTTAGAAATGGAATTGAAGTATTCGAAATCCTGGCACTGCATACATTTCTTTAAGAAAAACCACTTGCAATGATCATGAGAAATAATTCTTTATTCAAAGCAACACAACTAGGCCTTTCCCCCATCAATGAAGGTATTCTTGACAACAAGCACCTGTTTCGTAATGATAAGCGACTATGACACTACTGGAAAAGCATTGCATCATTGCCAAGCTGGATGAGTGGTCCTGTTACCGCTGAACTATTCAGATTGTCGAGCTGCTTCTAGTTATTGTGGCTACAGTTTCATCACTCCATCCATGACAAAGGCGGCTTTACCCAGCAGTTCCACCCGGTCACCTCTCAGCTTGACCACAATCTCCCCACCTCGTGCAGAACACTGTCTCGCTGGAAGAAATCAGAGATTGTTTTGAAACAATTTGTTTCAGTCATCACAGCTACGAGACATGACAGACGTAACGACATTAAAACTGGTAACTCACTTTCACCCCTCATATATGGCAGTTCACAGTTCGTAAAACACACACCTGGCTATATACCCAGTGCCATGGGTATATTAATCTATCAGTCGTCAGCTTGAGGGAAATCCCAAAGACGTTTTATCACGTTAGTGAAGCGTACTCGCACGGGTATAGTGCTGGGGAAAATAAATACATATATGCCTCACCGGATATTCTTCTACTTCTTTTGAATGGTATACATGAAATATCAAACAGGCCACATGCAAGTTCATGTCCAACATCGCAACCAACCATTCAATATAACCAATAACATGAAGTAGCTTTCATTTCGCTGAGACAACACTTACTAAAGAAATCATTCTTTCCTAACTGTTGTGCCCAGTAATGCGCTAGAACTGTCTGCGCAGATCCGGTAACAGGGTCTTCCGGTATATTTCCCCAAGGTACAAAACAACGAGACACAAAGTCGTAGGGGGCGCCACCGTCACTCTGGTAACCATCTCCGGGAGGCCCTCTGGTGGTGACAATTAGACCAAACAGTCTATCAGCGGATCTCTCCATGGCTGATATATCAGGCGTCCAAGTCTCAAATTCTTCTCTGTCATGAGAAAGAAAAACATTCAGTGGCGCATATTTTCAATATATTCAAGTTTGTGTGTGGATATACCACAATGACATCATATTATGTCCACAACAAAAGATTTCACCATTACGCAGTTCCTTCTATGTGAGGCTCAGAAGTCATCAATCAATCGTTGTAGCTGGAATATTGCTGACGCAAAACAATAAAGACTGGGTATCCCTGGGCATGTAAGGTGAAAACGCGAATACTGAATTTGATAAAATACGAATTCCATACATAGTACGAAAATGACATTCTTGAAAGCTATCTTAGACTTTGGGTCCTAACATAGGTAGACATTGTCTCATCGGCTTGACGTTCAAGGTAAACTAAGAATGGACAACTTACCTGGACCATCCGTCGTGAAGTCGTACAAGTAGATAACGCAGGGAGTCGCAGTAGACGATGTCGCTAATACCGGACACATCCCCTAACGACTGAAGAGTAAAGTGAGCACATTTGGGGTTGTTAATATTATGTTTCATGATTGTGTCTCATGAAATCATTTTTTGTGTTCAATACATTTTGCATGTTGGTGTAAACCCTTTTATCTCCTAATAGAAAGTGTAACCACAGATCAATCCTACTGATCCTTGGAACACTCATACTCAGTACACGCAATGATGTAAAGGGAACCATGTGTGGTAACAGAAGAATACATACCGCTACAATCTGCTCATGTTGACTTTGGTCCTGAAAACAACAGTAAAATCTGTTTTTGAATCTTCAACGCTCACAACCGAAATAGAATGTTTCTCAGCTTCTCGGCATAATTGTGTCAAGTAGAAATAAATAGTTTTGACATATGACATGTGATAACTTTGTTATCATTATCATTGCTACCTCAGCCTGCTTTAATAATGGAATTCCACAGACAAAGTATTTCAGGCATGTTAAAAAAATTATATTATATTCACAAAAAAGCTAGACTCCATTTGGTTGCACTAAATGTTTGTTCAATGTGTCCGAAATGAATTTAACATTATTGTTGATATATCATCAGAATTTTAACTATATATCAAAACTGACCATTCACCTTAAAATGCAGTAGACGTTAATTATGATAAAATGTCACAGTTAACTACCGCATTTATTTAAGCCTTGAGACTTTATATGTATGTATGTATGTATGTATGTATGTATGTATGTATGTATGTATGTATGTATGTATGTATGTATGTATGTATGTATGATTGCATGCATGCATGTGTATGCATGTATGCATGTATGTATGTATGTATGTATGTATGTATGTATGCATGTATGTAGATTTTGTTGTCACCAGACAATATTTATTTTACTGAAACAGGTGGTTAAGTTGTCTAAGTGATCTGTGCAGTTGCATACTCAATTAGGATCCGCTGATCGTGGGTTCGAAACTCGGATTCATCCCGATTATGATCCTTGGTCTGTCAGTGTCAGCAGTGCTCGTTTGGTTTCATATTTCAGGTACAATGCAAACATCTATTACCCGCGTCACGTTCGGCTTCTCTCCCACATAAGTTCTCACCCACTCGCCACTATGTTATCTTGATGTTCAACTGTCCAGGTCATAAATTTAAAAGACTACGATGTATCAAACCCACCTCTTTCACAGTAGTGCCAACGGGGAAATCCATGTGAATCGACTGACCCTCCCGTTGAACGATCAAATCTCCACTTAGTGTCTTAAACACGATACGGTCATGTTTGTTGTCTGTGGAAACAAAATAAATTTGAATTTGACGTTGAATGGAGTATGCCCTGTTCGGCGGGCTGCAACACTTGACAATAATCCTTCATCAGTCAATAGAGGGCGGTTCTTTGGGAATTTGTGTTTTCTACTCACCCAATTTCCCGAACAAAACAGCTGCTGAAGCCAAAGTTGCGTGACCGCATAGTTTGACCTCGTCCTTTGGAGTGAACCACCTCAAACCAAACGTATTACCTGTAAAGGATATTATGATGTACACTATTATCGATTTTGTTAGAGAAAAGATGTTTCGTCAATTGCTTTAAAATGGCATTTATTATGGTAAAATGCCGAACGTTTTATTTTTCATAAGGTATTTGTTTTCAGAACATGCCACACATCCAGCGGACAATATATGTTTAGGGGTGATGGAGGACAAGTTATTTTATTTATTAAATTCCCATGATCCCCACACCCTTGAGGTAATGTGTGACGTGGGTGATAGTGACATCGTGAGCGGACGGCACTGTGTGTTACTCGTGCTATTAATCACTAGTTTGACTGTCTCAGCCATAATTATATACAGGCTGTCGTGATATAGCGGGAATATTGCCAAACACGGCAATAATAAACATTAACTGTCTTATCATCTACTCAGTGAGATCTGGTCAAGATTAAAATATAGACACATGTTTATTTGAAGGATAAAAAAAGTATTAAAAAGATTCACTGTTTGTCTACGTTATAATTGTGTAGATTTTATGTGAGCACCATTGACATATTTATGGGATGGTGACACCAACTTGATCAGATTGGCTTTATTGCATCAACACTATCAATTACATGACAATTTCATTATAAGTTTGTACTCCCCTCAGAGACTTGTGCAATAATCTATTTTACAAAGTGAACTTCTTTTGTGTATGTCGATGTGAAACTTACTTTCTTTAAAACTATCCGACTTATGTAAAAGTTTGATAAATGCAGTATCAGACAGGTTCATCTCCACGGCAATCTTCTGCAGGATATCATCGTCTAGATTCTGTAAACATTTTCAGCAAAATACATGAAAGCACTGACCGCACCCGTCACCAAAATGTAGAAAAACAGGAACTCTATATATTGTTGAAATGACAGTTACATGTACTTAATATACTGTCAAAGTTCCTTGCCACGGGGAGATGCTATATGGGGAGCATGTGTCACGTGTTTCTACACGCATAACAGTATATAAATAAAACAATAAGGAATAACAAGAAATTAATACTTTTTTACAAAGTATTCCATTCCTATAAGAATGAGGTAATGACGATCTTAAAAGTCGTATTTGTGATTTTTATGTGAAGTTATTTTATCAGATTTATCTGTATTTCTTAAAGGAAACATAACAGTGTACAGAACCTTTGTCTGCAATATACATTTTCATTATAATCAATAATATTGTCATTTCTAAATCGGACGAGCACATATTCAGCGTCAAGTACAAATCTGCAAAATGGCCGACAAAATAATTATGTGGACAATGCAAACAATACCAACAGTGGTGAATAATACTGACAGTAATTTGCCATTGTAGAATCTATATGTGATACATTATTTGCTCAAGTTCAGTATATCTTTTAAGTTTCAGATTTAAGATTCAGGGAAGAATGGGGTGGTATTATGAATAAAATCAAAATACGAAGAGCGCAAAACATTCAGTATCCGAGATCATGTTCAAGTTTAAGGATACAAGCATATTGAGCATACAAATAGTTAGTTCCATAAAAGAGTCAATGATGTTCCGCAAAAATCGCAAATATTCGCGAATAATCCTCGGAGTTTCTGAGGAGTTTTTTAGAAATAAAGTAAAAGACTTTTACGTTATAGTGTATGCGGATCTCTACTAATGTACTACGCTGTCTTCATGCGTATATACAAACGAGATAGCAATCTGTTGCTACATCTAAGAAATGCATCTACTACAAAATGTTGAAAATAATTAATAAATATAAGTCGATAAAGCGATGTCCCCATTCGGCCAGCACAGCAAATTATGAGTAGTAGTAGAGGCTGAATTCAGGTCGCGATTGAGCTAACGGGGCGCGCTGTGAGCTAGCTATTGGAGTTACCTCCCTTCAATACTCACTGGTTTGTTTACACACTGTGTCTCCACAGGTGGATGAGATTAATTTCACAATCAGGAATTGGACTTGATTTTGCAGTTACAAACTGATTCTTTATCAGAGAATATAGATCATGAACTTCTGTCGTCACATAACCAACATAATACCTGCCCAATATCATTGTTATTATCAAATGAAAACACAGCGGGGATGCTCTCGTTGAATTTGAGAAGCTATTTGTAGCGATATCCACAGTAGAAACTTACAACATCGGACGGCAAGGGACAGATGGCGGCCGGGTTGCCTTTGAAGGGGACGTCAGTGAAGGCATCGACAGTGTAGAGCTGGAGGGTGACACCGGCCATGTTCTAACTTCAGTGTTGTACACAACGGAGGTCGGCGACTGGGCGGTGTGTGGCCTGACCTATTTTAGCCCTAAAGGGCCGCAACTAGGGCATAGAACGAGTCTAAATAGTGAGTGAGCGAGTTGGGTTTACGCCGCGTTTAACAGTATTCCAGTTATATTGCGGCGTGTCAGCTTAATGTGGGAGGAAAGCCTGAAGTGATGCAAGTCTCAGACGTTTACCACTTCGGTGAAACCCACGGGCACGGGTATGGTGCTGACAAACCTAGAAACATAATCGGGGCGAACCGGGATTCGAACCCACAATCGTAGGTTTCTGGCATGAATTCATTTAATATCACCAACTGATATTAAATATTTTAATAAAATCAGGACAGAATTAATGATTTCAATAACACGTGTGCTCCCCTTCTGGCTGATCAGTTTCTTTATGAATATGAATCAGATTCTCTGCTCGGATTGGAAAAGTCCAAACAAGGTAATTTGGCCTCTGTATATATTCACTGAAGATCTCTGGTTATTACTATACAAGAGAACATTTTGGTCACTGAGTTACATTGACAAGTAGTAATGACGATAATTGCAAAAAGTGTATGCTATAAGCAGATCATAACAAGACATTATCCTGTTATGGAATTCCATAATGTTAGATACCACATTATTTGAAACCAAAAGAAATATAACAACACAACATACCAAAAAGACTGGTTTGTTTTTGTGTTTGGTATTTGATTGACATGTGAGATTGTCGGACAAGACAGGTGGGATCCGAACGTTTGACCAACGGTCTCAGCCTGTCAGCTTACGTTTGGGGAAGGCATGGTAAGAGTGTCATACGATCAGTCCTGGTCCAGCGTTAGGGTAATATCCACGGTGAACCTGGCTCTACCCAGTATTTCCACACCGTCGTCTCCAGGTCTGATGATGATGTCGCCTCCACGTTAGGAACACTGTCTCGTTGAAAATGAAACCTCACAAACCAGTGTTTGTTAATGCAAGTTGTGCGCACATTTAAAAAAATGAATTCTGACATCCATGTTGTTTGAAGCTTTGCGGCTGAAGTGTTTGATCGTCAAGCCGAAAACCCGGGTGGATTCTCCACACGAGTAAGCCCATTTTAATGATCCCTGCCACGTTACCATTCGAATACGGCTTATGTATTACAACAGATGGTTAACACCAAACTACAAACTCACTTACCACCATCCCCTCACATCTTTATTCATTCAGGAACATTGTTAACAGACAACGCCAGAAATCTCTTTTCCCTAGCTGTTGTGTCCAGTCATGCGCAATGATCGTCTGCGCAGTTCCTGTTTTGATATATTTTAATGATATACGTCCGCTAAAAGAACTTCAAATTACATTTGAATGCGGTTGACTGTTTATCAAACATCGGTTGACTTGTTATCATTGCAATTATCATCCGAGTACGAAATGTGTATAAGGTCATATGTACATGGCGGAAACTCATTTTATATATGTTTTTATTTTAAATCCATTATATATCATTTCTCTGTCAAACAAGATAAACTACCTGATATATATATATTCAGCAATCCTGTTTATCTAGCCAATCCCTTATAATTACGAATCCCACTTCAAGAATCTAGCCTTGCAATCCTGCACGTATGGTCCACTATACATTCCCTTACGTCTATCTCATGGGCGCCAAGGACAAACAGAACAGATTGCCAGTTGATGTTCAACAACTCTCAGGATACCTCCTCCTACATAAAAGTCTCGTAGGAATACTTACACCCTGATCCTAAGAGATGGCTAGCATGGACTTAAAAGAAGGCTTACACTCTGGTTCTGAAAGGTTTACACGCAATTCTTCACGAATGAAGCATCCCGTTTATACGTTATATTGTATATACTGATACACAACATTTTAGAAGCTTTGAATTTGACAGAGGTCGTGCGTAGATCATGTGCTAAACTTAAAACGGATGGGCTGTTTGACACACTGTACTACTGCTTTTAAGACCCACCTAAGGTTTTTAAAAATGACCAGTAGTCTGTTATTCTCATGAGGAGATACCGTAGAAAGTGACACTGGGCGACATCAATGAAGGTGGGAACGTCGCCGCAGGCCTTTGAAGCAAGTGTGATAATCCACGAGTAATCACATTCTAGTGTCAATATTCGCGATATTTCTTGATAATCATTAAAATGAAATGATAATTAAATGTGTCAATGGACAAGGGGACATGTAAACAAGTGGTTTAATGTACTGCTTCCTTTAGTCGTGTCAGGATCCGGTGATCGGTTGTATGAATCATATATTCGCCAAGATTCTGATTCTTGCTTTATTAGCTCCATACCCATGCTCTTGGGTTTCACAAAAGTTGTCAATGTCGACAACGAGGATTTGCACAAGTTCATACGTACCATTAGAATAGTGGAAGGCTCCTGAAAATGAATAACCACCTATTCCTGTAAACGCCGTGAGTGAATATTAGTTCATACCAAAATAAGCATTTCCATCTGAAATGTCACAGCGGCATGTTATTAATCGAATTTGCTACTACCACTACTACTACTACTACTACTACTACTACTACTTCGGATGATCCTTGGTGCAAAACAAGACATCTTTCTAACATTAACAAGAATGTAGACAGATGCTTTTGAAGATAGAAATGTAACTAGATCTGTGATCACCATTCCTATTTAAATACCTTAGCAGTTTTAATAAGAGATTTATCACAGTTGTGATGTAATTGACCGACCAACCAGAACAGATTATACTCATGTCATAAATGTAATTGTAGTATTCGACATTCTGGTATAGCTGACATGTTTTTAATAAAAACACTTTAAGTAATTATGAGAGTATCAATTTTATTAAAGCAACATATAAAGACCATTTCCTCCTCAGTTCAGATATTACTGACAACAAGCACATGTTGCGTAATGATAAGCGACCAAGGCACTATTGGCAACACATTGCCAAGCCGTTCCTTTTATCACTGAACTATTGTAGTTTTTTCCAGCTGCTTCTAGTTATTGCGGCTACAGTTTCAGCACTCCATCCATGACAAAGGCGGCTTTACCCAGCAGTTCAACCCGGTCACCTCTCAGCTTGACCACAATCTCCCCACCTCGTGCAGAACACTGTCTGGCTGGAAGAAATCAGAGATTGTTTTGAAAAAGAATTGTTTCAGTTATCACAGCTACGCGACATGACAGGCGAAACGACTTCAACACTAGTAACAGCCCACTCACTTTCGCCCCTCTGTACGGCAGTTCACAGCTCATACATGTATCAGACACCTGGCTATATATGCAGTTCCATGGGTATTTTAATCTATCAGTCGTCCGCGGTCGTAGGCCCAAATGTATTGATGAGTGAGGGTGCTTGGTTTAAGAACACTTTCAGCAGTATTTCTGTTAATGTCACTGCGTACCACTTAGGGAGAAATCCCAAAGTGACGCATGTTGCAGGCGTTTATTGCTTCAATGAAGCCGATTAGTACGGCTATAGTGGTGGGGACATTATATTTCATATCAGTATGAGTCAGGTAGCCAATCAGCTATTCAAAGAAAACAACGTGTTCTACCATGCCATTCGTATGTTTGTTTGTTGTTTAACGCCGCACTCAGCAATATTCCAGCTATATGACGGCGGTCTGTAAATAATCGAGTCTGGACCAGACAATCCAGTGGTCGACATCATGAGCATCGATCCACGCAATTGGGGTGAAGTGAGGTGAAATTGGGTTTAACGTCGCGTCCAAGATTATTGCACTTATATAGCGACGTGCATGCACGTGTATGTGTGTGTGTGGCTGCTTGTACTAGTCCGGACTGATGCCGATTTATAGTGCTAGCTCACTGAGATGCCATGCCGCAGTTTAACATGAATACCCCACTCAGACACAGTATACTGACTCCGAGCCGACCAGTCCTTGTTTTAGCCCCTTAATGCCGAGCGCCAGACAGGGTAACAACAAGTACAATCTTTTAACGTCTTTTTGTATGACGCGGCCCGGGATCGAACCCTGGACCTTCCGCTCTCCGGGCGGACGCTCTACCACAAGACCACGGAGGCGGTCTCCACGCAATTGGGATACGATGACATGCATCAACTAAGTCAGCAAGCCTGATCACCCAATCCCGTTAGTCGCCTCTTACGACAAGCATAGTCGCCTTTTACGGCAAGCATGGGTTGCTGAAGACCTATTCTACCCCGGATCTTCACGGGTCCCATGCCATTCGTAACATGCGTTTGTAACATGTTAATTGTTATATGGCAACATAATAGGTTATGTACATAATCAAGTGTGTTTCACCATAATTTGTTCATTGATTTTGGTCATTTACCGAGTTCACAATTTAGTTTTGAACGAACCCATTTCAGGGTCAATCTACGTGTTTCAACCTGGAATGAACTCGTAACATACACGTCACAAACAATTCTCAAATCACAACCAACAATTCAAAGTGACCTATAACATGTATTATCTTTCATTTCCCTGAGACAAAACTTACTAAAGAAATCATTCTTTCCTAATTGTTGTGCCCAGTAATGCGCTAGAACTGTCTGCGCAGAACCGGTAACAGGGTCTTCCGGTACATCGTCCCAAGGTACAAAACAACGAGACACAAAGTCGTAGGTGGCGCCATCATCACTCTGGTAACCATCTCCAGGAGGCCCTCTGGTGGTGACAATTACAAGAAACACCCTACCGCTGGATCTCTTCATGGCTGATATATCAGGCGTCCAGGACTCAAATTCTTCTCTGTCATTAGAAAGAAAAACATTCACTGCTGCATACGTTCAATATTTGTTTGCACGAAGTCAGTTCTCAAGTATCGAGCACCCTGTTCAAATACATTGAGATGAAGAAAACAAAGACATTAGTTTTATCCATATCAAGCTTCCTGTTTTTATAACCCCTTGGGGATCCGGGTTCAGAATATGTTCCACCACTCTATTGCATGTAGTTACAGGCGACTAAATAGGAAATAATTGGTGTCATCGTACGCGGACACTGTGGGACGTTGCTCATAATATAAATCTCTTGGGTTATTTTACCAGTTGAGATCCGGGTCTTCAGCAACTGATGCTTGTCGTAAGGGGAGACTATGCTGGTCGCAAGAGGCGACTAGATGGATCGGGTGGTCCGGCTCGCTGACTTGCTTGATGCATGTGATCGTATCCCAGTTGGATCGATGTTCATGATATCACCACTAGACATGGTTTGTCTGGTCTAGACTCGATTGTCGACAGCCCGCCGTCATATAGCTGAGGATATTGCTGAGTGCGGCGCTAAACAAACAAACAAACAAACTAGGCTGGAAGTACATCTAAGAATGTTATCTAAGAATGAGCAACTTACCTGGACCATCCGTCGTGAAGTCGTATGAGTAGATAACGCAGGGAATCGCAGTAGACGATGTCGCTAACACCCGATACATCCCCCAACGACTGAAGTAGAGTACAAGTGAAGACATATGATGTTGTTAATGTTGTTAGTACTGGTGTTTCTGTTGGTGCTGATGTTGATGTTGATGTTTCATCATTATGTTGTATTCAGTCAATCGTTTTCCTTACAAAGCTATGGGCACAGATCAATCCTACTGATCCTTGGAACACCAATACTCAGTACATGCAATGTTGTAAAGTGTGCAATGTGTGGTAACAGAAGAATACATACCGCTACAATCTGCTCATGTTGACTTTGGTCCTGAAAAAAGCCCAGTAAAATCTTCAACTCTCAGAACCGAAATAGAATGTTTCTAAGCTTCTCGGCATAATTGTGTCACAGCAAACTCCGTTTCGTAAATTGTAGTTGGTAAATCCGTAAGTGGAAATAAATAGTTTTGACTTGTTCAACTTTGTTATCATTAGTAAAGATAAATGTACCTCAGCCGTTAGACCTCGGTCTGTTTTAGCGAGTGAGTTCGGTTTACGCCGCTTTTAGCAATATTCCAGCAATATCACGGCGGGGCACACCAGAAATGGGCTTTACACATTGTACCCATGTCTGGAATCGAACCCGGGTCTTTGCGGGTCGTGACAAGCAAACGCTTTAACCACTAGGCTACCCGATCGCCCCTGTTGTAATATTAATGAAATTTTACCAACAATGTATTTCAGGCATTATAAAAGTAAAATGATACAAACATTCAAATTTACACACAAAAACAGCTATATACACGGACTCCATTTGGATGCATTTATTTATATTTATTGGAGTACTGCTTATCGAAATATTAACTGCCTATCAAAATTGACCTTTCGCCTTAAAATGTAGTAGACACTAATTATGGTAAAAGATCGCACTTAACTCCCGCTGTTCTATTTAACCGCGAGGCTTACAAATCTGTATTTGTTTGTTTTTTGTTTTACACCGCACTCAGCAATATTCCAGCTACATGACGGCGGTCTATAAATAATCGAATCTGGGTAGGTTTTGTGGTCATTCGATACAACAAACAATATCTTACTGAAACAGGTGGCCAAGTTGTCTAAGTGATCTGTGCAGTTGCATACCTAATTAGGATCCGCTGATCGTGGGTTCGAAACTCGGATTCATCCCGATTATGATCCTTGGTCTGTCAGTGTCAGCAGTGCTCGTTTGGTTTCATATTTCAGGTACAATGCAAACATCTATTACCCGCGTCACGTTCGGCTTCTCTCCCACATTAAGTTCTCACCCACTCGCCACTATGTTATCTTGATGTTCAACTGTCCAGGTCATAATATGAAAGTACACAATGTATCAAACCCACCTCTTTCACAGTAGTGCCAACGGGGAAATCCATGTGAATCGACAGCCCCTCGCGTTTAACGATCAAATCTCCACTTAGTGTCTTAAACACGATGCGATCATGTTTGTTGTCTGTGGAAACAAAACAAGTTTAAATTTGACGTTGAATGGAGTATGCCCCGTTGGCGAGCAGTATACAGTTGGCAATATACTTCATCAGTCAAAATAAAGGAAGGTCCCTTCGATATTCGTGTTTTCTACTCACCTAATTTCCCGAACAAAACAGCTGTCGATGCCAAAGTAGCATGGCCGCATAGTTTGACTTCTTCTTTTGTAGTGAACCACCTCAAACCAAACGTGTTACCTGTGAAGGGATATTATGGTGTACACCATTATCGTGTTTGTTAGAGACAGAATATTTTTGGTCAATTGCTTGAATACATGCATGTTTATGTAAAAAGAGGATCAGAACATTTTTTCCCTATTTATCATGCGTACAATATTGTTGTGGGGAGGGGGGTGAAACCTCAGGTAAAATTATATATTTCAAAAAGAGTCCCGGACACAATTTTGTGTTAATGTGTGATGTGGGTGATAGTGACATCGTGCCCGGACGGCGTGGATTGTTGCTCATACTATCAACCACTGGTTCGCGTGGCTAAGCCTCCCAGGACGCCGTGATATAGATTCGAATGCAGTACAAATGCAGCAAAAATCAACCTTAACTCTTTCATCTGCCCATTCAGATCAAGTCAAGTTTCAAACACAAGACACATAGTGGCGATATGAGATACATGTCCAACATAACGTAGTTTAAAATACAATCTACTTTCCTTATAGTCATAAGAATATGATCGCTACAGAGTCATGGTCACGACATATCATAAACATTCACTCATATACGAATTTCAAGTTTATTTTACAGATAAAAGTGCTGGTATTAAAGAAGATTCAGTGTTGGTCAAAGTAACAATTATGTAGAATTCTGTGCCACAATATTTACATATTTATGGGATGTGATACCAGTTTGGCTTCTTGCAAGGATAATACTAACCATTACATGGTAATTTCAATTATGTGAGAGACTTGTGTGAAATAAGTTCTGTTACTTTTCTACTGACAGACTCATAATCCAACAAAGAGAAGGATTGGATACCCGTACAAGCGAAACTTACTTTCTTTAAAACTATCCGATTTATCTATAAGTTTGATTAATGCAGTTTCAGACAGGTTCATCTCCATGGCAATCTTCTGCAGAATATCATCGTCTAGATTCTGTGGACATATTTTAGCCAAATACATGAAAGCACTGATCGCATCTGTCACACAAATGTAGAAAAACAAGATTAAAACAAAATATCACATCATGGAAAAGTACAAACCTGACCATTTCCTTAATGTAGTAATATACTTAATATATTGTAGCAGTGACAGTTATTTATATAGTGGTGTGGTGATAGTTATTTAATATATTGTAGCAGTGATAGTTATTTATATAGTGGTGTGGTGATAGTTATTTAATATATTGTAGCAGTGATAGTTATTTATATAGTGGTGTGGTGATAGTTATTTAATATATTGTAGCAGTGATAGTTATTTATATAGTGGTGCCGTGATAGTTATTTAATATATTGTAGCAGTGATAGTTATTTATATAGTGGTGCCGTGATAGTTATTTAATATATTGTAGCAGTGACAGTTATGTATATAGTGGTGTGGTGATAGTTATTTAATATATTGTAGCAGTGACAGTTATTTATATAGTGGTGTGGTGATAGTTATTTAATATATTGTAGCAGTGATAGTTATTTATATAGTGGTGTGGTGATAGTTTTTTTAATATATTGTAGCAGTGACAGTTATTTATATAGTGGTGTGGTGATAGTTATTTAATATATTGTAGCAGTGATAGTTATTTATATAGTGGTGTGGTGATAGTTATTTAATATATTGTAGCAGTGATAGTTATTTATATAGTGGTGTGGTGATAGTTATTTAATATATTGTAGCAGTGATAGTTATTTATATAGTGGTGCCGTGATAGTTATTTAATATATTGTAGCAGTGATAGTTATTTATATAGTGGTGCCGTGATAGTTATTTAATATATTGTAGCAGTGACAGTAACTTATATAGTGGTGTGGTGATAGTTGTTTAATATATTGTAGCAGTGATAGTTATTTATATAGTGGTGTCGTTATAATTATTTAATATATTGTAGCATTTTCACACACAAAAAAGCACAATTACAATTAACGAAATCACGGGCAATGTATGATGGCTGATTTTGACATTTTAGGGGCGACAAGGACAATTCAAGGTTCCACTTGCGCAGATGAGGAATGTGTCAGTGGTAGGAGAAATTGAATGTAGGTCGCGTTTGGGACACAGGGACATCGCTGTGTGAGGAAAGCTATTAGAGTTTCCTCCCTTTAATACTCACTAAACACTGTGTGTACACAGGTGGATGAGATTAATCTCACAATCAGGAACTGGACTTGTTCTTGCAATCATAAACTGACTCTTCACCAGGGAATATAGATCATGTACTTTTGTCTTCACATAACCAACATAATGCCTCCCCAATATCATTGTTATTATCAAATGAAAACGCAGCGGGGATGCTCTCGTTGAATTTGAGAAGCTATTTGTGGCGAAATCCACAGTAGAAACTTACAACATCGGACGGCAAGGGACAGATGGCGGCCGGGTTGCCTTTGAAGGGGACGTCAGTGAAGGCATCGACAGTGTAGAGCTGGAGGGTGACACCGGCCATGTTCTAACTTCAGTGTTGTACACAACAGAGGCCGGCGACTGGGCTGTGCGTGGCCTGACCTATTTTCACCTTGTGGGGCCGCTACTACGATATAGTACCAGTTTAAATAGCGACAATATTTCTGATATCATCAAGTCTCTAATATTGCAAATGAATTGTGATATCAGCAATAGAAGTGAACACGGCGAGTTGAACGGCAACAAAGACATTGCCAGGATGCACTTTGATACTCCACAACTCTGTGGCGTCTATTAATCTCACCTAATATTATGTAATTACTTTGTTGTCCTTTGTACGATGTCATTTTACTTTACTTTCCTGGTCATTCCTAGCAGCGTGTCTCTTTCCGTCCTATCACACATATCATGGACGGGTTGTCCGTTTGATTCGAACATAATGCTAATAATCATCGGTGGGAACAAAACACTCCAACGTACAACGTCACCATGTAGCTACATGACGAATCCACTTTACTGTAACAGTCTGGTGAACCATGGCCAGTGTTGCTTTGGCTGTAGATTTTTGTGGAGGGTACATAAATTTCAACTTCACTGGTCGAGAGGTTTCTCAGAAGATATTTACATACACTGACGAAGCCAATGTACGATGGTCAACCAGCCAATGGTATTCCGTCATCTTACGTTTAAACATTATTTTGTGCATCACCTCTCTTCTAATGCGACAACCCGGGACTTTCGCTACTTTATCTTCGTTTATATATACGTTTGTATGTCTGTACGTCTTTGTATGTCTTCAGGTTTTAGAGTCAGATTTCTTCCTCAATTAACAAACTGGCCTTATCTTTGGCATCTTTTATATGTCACTCATATCAGTTCTTTGATCAAGCAACGCTTACATAAAATAAAAGCACAAAACACTCTCCATATTCATGAGCAATCTCGTATGACGCTCTTTGAATCTTGGTAGAAAGGGCATGTTCGATTTGTACCTCAAACATTGTGAAATGTGAACACCAAGGGCAAAACTGGTTATCTTATTTGAGGCCTTGTCGGTGGGAAAAACTGCCAACTTTTCTTGTACGGCACTCTGACTTTGGAAGACGGCTGGCTGGGAAAGAATAGGGTTATTACGATAGTTTCCACCTTTCTGCCAATGAAATCACCATGTACGTATGTAATCCACTTTGAGAGATATTACCATAACATGTTTGTATTTGGATATAGGAAAACACGATTTCGAAATACGATGGTGATATGTCCAAAAGAAATTATTACTTGTCATCGTGTGTATAAAAACAGAACCCTGTTATTGAATGCCATAATGCTAAATACCCTGCCTATTACATGATAATAATAATAATAACAACAACAACAACGGTTTGTTTTTATGAATATGATCTTATTTACAGGTTGGTTCCGATAGTATTGTGCAATCGGCCTCAGCCTGTCAGTCTGATTATGTTGGAGGAAGGCATGGTAATAGCCTCATCAGATCAGTTCTTGTCCAGCGTCAGTGTAATATCCATGGTGAACCTGGCTTTACCCAGTATTTCCACACGGTCATCTCGAAGTCTGATGATGATGTCGCCTCCACGTTTGGAACACTGTCTCGCTGAAAATGATACGGCTAAATAATACGATCGGGTGCTTTAGACAAACTGTACTTGTTGATGCAATTAGTGATCAAATGCAATAAAACATTCTGAAAAAAATAAACAAATATTTGATGTTTTTCGTCATATGACGCTGACAAACGTTCAATTAAATGTCAAAAGGTCTTCTAATAGCAACAGCTTAATACCCATACTTGATTCATTGTAATAATTATACCAATCCTATCCATGGCTATCAGGTAACCTCGTGGTTGAAACGTTAGACCGTCACGCCGAACCCGGGTCGATTTTCCACGTGCGGGAAGCCCGGTTTTGCTATTTGTGCCGAGATTTATTCGAATATTACTCAAACCAGCTTAACCCACACCAGCTTATACATTCAGTTACTTATGTATCATTACAGATGGTGTCCACCCAAACAAAAGCACAGCTCACTTACCACCAACCCCTCACTTCAAGATTCTTTCAGTAAGATTGTAAGTTGACAACGTCACGCTCTTACCATGGAAATCTGTCTTGCCTAACTGTTGTGACCAGTAATGCGCAAGGACCGTCTGTGCAGATCCCGTCACAGCATCTTCTCTGGAGCTTGTCCATGGAGAAAAACACCGGGAGACAAAATCATACGGAGCGCCGGACTTATCAACATATCCTTCCTCGGTAGAGCCTCTTGTTGTGATAATAAGAACCCTTAATTTGTTTGTTGATGTTTCTATTGATCCAATGTCTGGTTGCCAAGATTCAAACTGATGTCTGCAAGTTAACATTGAAATAAAAACAATAATATTAATCTGTAAACAAAAAAAGTAAGATATTGTGACATCATAGTGCGCATCTAATGACATTAGACTACTTGTTTTACTCAAGTCTTTAATGAATAGCTTGTCAACTCAACTGGAGATGTATTCGCAGCGGCAGGTGGTGACTTCGGAACCCATTTCTATCAGAAGAGGAATATTTCAGGGCGATTCTTTTAGCCCTTTGCTTTTCTGTTTGTCACTAAATCCTTTCAGCTCTTTGCTCAGCAAAAAGGAAGGTTATCACCCGGACCTCCTCCTAAGCACAGATCCCCAACACCCCTTACTCACCTCCTTTACATGGACGACCTTGAACTTATTTCCAATGGTGGATCTACACTAAAATAACAGATTCTGCTTGTCGAGTCATTTTAATGATATCGGCATGTCCTTTGGACCCGACAAATGAGGGAGGGAGGATCAGTCAGTTTAGTACTTAGAGGAATAGTTATATTGTGGAAGGTCAGGCCTATACGTACTTAGGGATGCAGATTTGGGACAAACTCCAGAATGCCCATATAAAGGGCAAACTTCGGGTCGAGTACAAATGTAGACTAAAGAAAATCTGGAGTTCCGAGCTGAACGCTCGCAAAAAAGTAAAAGCCACAAATACTTATGCTGTGCCTGTCCTTTCGTATTCTTATGTGTTGTTGATTGGACGAAACAAGAAATACTGGGTACTGACACCCTCACACGAAGAATCATGTCAGACAATAGATCCCACCACTCTCGCTCTTCCCTCAATCGCATATATTTACCAATTATGATGGGAGGGCGTGGTTTAATGTGGAGGCTCTTCATGTGCACTTTTGCACACATTTATTTGTCTGATGATGCTCTTGTGAAGCACGTCAAGACTCATGATGAAAACAAGGTATTCCACAGTTTTATAAAACGAGCCAAGGATGTGGGACATAATCTCAGTGTCAGTGTTGATTTTGTTGATGGTTCTGTACTGCTGTACGGTACAGAAACGAGTGCAGAGTCCTCCGCTTGGATGAAGTCGTCTGGCCTGAAAAGTCGAAATGAAGGCTTTCTGTTTGCTGCTCAGGACCAGTCAATTCCCACTCGAAACCGTCAATGTGTGATTTTCATCAATGTAAATATGAAATGTAAATTATATAATGAATTTAATGAGACTGTCCAACAGATTGTCAGTGGATACCAAGCTTTGGCACAAACACAGTATCTTAAACGACATGATGTTGTAGCTCGATCATTTTATTACCGTATTCGCCATGCTTGTGGTTTTGACACATAGGTCCACCCATGGTACAGCCCGGAATATGTAGTGGACGTCATGGAAAATGATAAATACAAAATTCTTTGGAATAGGCCCATTTACAGCCTTAGGCGTATCCAGGCCAACAAACCTGATCTTGCCCTTGATACATCCAATGAAATCATTTATATCATTGAATTTTCTGTCCCCTTTGACAGTATTGTGATTGACAAAGTTGAGGAAAAAAAATGGTAAATATGCAGACCTCGCTTTTGAAATGTCACGATTGCATCCCAAGTACCAAGTTGTCCGACTCCCCCTTGTTCTCGGTGCCTTAGGTTTGGTACCTCCCAATCTGTTGACTGACACTGGGAGAGTACCAGGTACGAGGAATACAGCCCTTCTGACAATCTGGGTAATGCAGAAGGCTGCAGTGTTGGGGGGTCTTCACATTCTCCGAAAGGTTCTGGGTGGGTTTGACAAGGCAGCGCTTCCTGGGAGAAGTCCCTTTCGCTGTCTGGGCTGCGTGTAGAGGGGGCAAGGGCCCTGAGCTGATGATGAGCCTAACCAGACTGACTGTGCCAGGATCACCCAAACCCTCTTTGCTGCATTTTTTATTTTAATCTGTAAATCGCTCAATCGCTTATACTTACCAATTATGATGGGATGACTTGGTTTGATTAATGTGGAGGCTCTTCGTGATAGAATTGTTTTGTGCACTTTTGCACACATTATCATTTATTTGTCTGATGATCCTCTCGTGAAGCCTGTTAAGACTCAGGGGGTGGGGGGGGGGGGGGGGGGGGGGGACGCTCTACCACTAGACCACGTTCGTGAATGAAACAACTGTGGTTAATTCGTTGTTATGCAGTTTTGATACATAACATCTTAGAAGCTTTGAACATTTACCATGTCCGTACAGGATCGCTAGATGTTGTGGGCTGTCTGTTGGGCACATTATACTATTGCTTTTAAAAGCCAACTAAGGATTTAGAAAATTGCGACGTACCTTGACCAGCCATCTTGTAGTCTGACTAGCAGGAACCGTAGAGGCTGACAGTAGGCGACATCCCTGACCCCGGGAACGTCCCCGAGAGCCTTGGAAACACATATGAAAATCCACCAATAATAATTTTCCTGATCAATCTCATTAAAATGAGATCTTAGTTCTCGCTATCGCTAAAAGGAGATCTGAGGACATCCCATTACGGGTCACGTCAGAACGACCTTTCATCCAACCAATCAGAGCGTCGCTTACCAGATCATGAAAGTGACAGACGGAATAAGTTTTCTAATCATGCAACCTCGAAATATTTAACTGGGTATTCCGAACGACAGATAGGGTTTTATGATTATGTCCATACGATCTTGGCCATCTATAAGCCATTCCAGAATGTTCTTTTTATCAGTTTTAAAAATTTTAATCGAGAATACGTCAAAATATGTTTCGAAGTGTAGTCGCCAGTTTGAAACTAAGTGTCATAAAGCTCGAGAAAGCTGCCTCCTGATTGGCTAACGATTTCTTGTCAGTCATTTCATTGATCGGTCAAAGTTTGAGAAAGATCGTTCTGACGTGAGATGTCCTCAGATCTTTGTTTAGCGGTAGCGAAAGCTAAGATCTGATCTTAATGAGATTGATTTCCTGATATTTCTTGATCATCATGAAAATATAATGATAACCAATTGCAACAAGGGGACATAAGTAGTCAAGTGGTTTAATGTCCTGCTTCCTTTAGACGTCCCCGGATCCGGTGATCAGTGGTTGGAATCCAATAGTCGCCAAGATTCTGATTTTTGGTATTTTAGCACCCTACCCATGTTCCTGGGTTATCCAAAAGTGGTAAACGTCGACGACGAACATCTGCACATCTTTGGGCTTTCACTGACAATACGCTGACACTCACAGTCGCGTTAACCACAACTTGCTATTTGTAACAAGCTTATACGTACCGATAGAATAGCCGAATGATCCCGTAGCTCCTGAAAACAGATAACCACCTTATTCATGTAAACGGCCTGAGTGAGTGGGTGAATTATATTTCATACTACTACTACCACGACGACGATGATGATAAACAACAACAACAATAAGACTGATGACAGTGAAAAGTGAAAATATGAGGAAGTTAAATACAAATGATGAAAGTCAAGTATTCTAATTCGTGTGTTGTTCCAAATATGTTGGATAAACTCTACTTTGCATTTTAGTATGCATGCATTCAGGTGATCCTTGGTGCAAAAAAAATTCAGAATGTCTTACATTAACCAGGAGTTAAAAAGACTCTTGCCCCTGCTTTTAACGCACTGTACTGCTGGACTATTCAAAATTAGATGTCAGTGGCGAATAATAATCTAAATATGCACGGGGTAACACATTTAAGGAGACGAGGTTATGAATTACCATAGGCTAGAACTCACTTTCACCCATTACTAAGAGAGAGGTCATCTAACATAGGTGTGTGTGTGTGTGTGTGTGTGTGTGTGTGTGTGTGTGTGTGTGTGTGTGTGTGTGTGTGTGTGGGGATGGAGGGTGGTGGTGGTTACGGTGGCCTAGTCGTCTAAGGCGCCACGATTCGCTGTGCAGAAATGCGTCCCTTGGGCACGCCAGAAACCTACGATTGTGGGTTCGAATCCCGGTTCGCCCCCGATTATGTTCCTAGGGTTGTCAGCAGGATACCCGTGCTCGTGGGTTTCACCGAAGTGGTAAACGTCTGAGACCTGCGTCATTTCGGGCTATCCTCCACATTAAGCTGACACACCGCGATATAACTGGAATACTGTTAAAAAGCTGTGTTAAACCCAACTCACTCACTCACTCTAACATAGTCTACGAATGAAACCACTGCAGTGTTGGTAGCAGATCCGACGTATGGCTCCGACATGTGTCCGTTCATAATACAACACTGAGCAGCCTCAGGATCAGTGAAGATGACAATGTAAGATTGGCCAATATGTACGAATAACACACTTCCTCTTCTGTTTGATAAAAGATTTCAATTGTCACCGTAATCTGCAGTGGAAACCTGGCTGTTGGGTTTTGACACTTACATATGATACTGGTTCTGCATATGGATATTTACCTCTTTGACAGTGTGCCCAATAGGAAGATCCAACGAGAAATATTCATCCTCCTGTTTCACGAATAGGTCTCCCACGAATGTTTTGAATACGATACAGGCGTTTGTATTTCCTACAAATATAGACGCATTTCATGATATTTTGTAGAGCATCAATTTAGGGTCTTTGGCTGGAGAAGGCAACGCGTTAACTGCCAAGCTACCCCACCGTCCCCCTTTTGTGTAAAGAATTCCAATGTGGTAATGATAGATACGATACACATTGTGAGATAAGACATATTGGAAGCAAGTGAAGTATAGAATCAGATATCAGTATGATATAAACATAAAGCCACTGCTTTGAAACTCAAATGCATTTTTTCGGAGATATTTGCAACACACGATCAAACGTGCCGGTAAGACAGGACATACTTACCCTTATCGCTAACACCTGGTGTGATTAATGACTTTCAGTGATCCATTCATATTATTTTCTCCGCTATGGTGGGCTTAATCCGTAAAACTCTTTATCAGCGGATATTCTTGTTTGTTGGTTTGTTGTTTAACATTCCAGCTATATGACGGCTGGCGGGTATTCTCTGACGTACAAATATATATTCTTTAAAAAGTTGGGGATCACGAAATATAAATATGTTAATGCCAAGTATAAGAACAAAGATAAGCCCCCCCCCCCCCCCCCCCCCCCCCCCTTCCAACCTGAGACCTCATGGCAGATTTGGCGGTGGATCTGTTATGTTGTGGGGTGGCATCGCTGGGACTGACCACACTAAGCTCCATCGTGCAAGGGACGGTCACTGTAGAGTACCGTTAGAACAACGTATTGACGCCCTGTGTTGTCCCATTTGCAAGTCTGTAGGTCGGCGTTTTGTCTTTCGGTACGCCCATGCTCACCGTACACGAACCGCCTCCAGCAGCACAACATCCATAGAATGCCATGGCCAGCAATGAGTCCTGACTGTTTTCCCTTCAACACATCTGGGACATGATAGGAATAAGTGTACGTCAACGTCAGAGGCTGCCGATCACATTATCTGAACTTGGTCAGGCGCTGCAAGAGGAGTGGGTCAGACTCCCTCCAATCACCATTTGGAGACGCACAAGCAGTATGCCTTGTCGGGTGAAAGGATGCCACAAATCATGGCGGTACTGCGCACAGTTCATCAAAAAACGTCAACTTTGAAATACTCATCTTACCCCTATCATCCTTCAAGATTGTTGGCGGTCATAACGTCTACTGTCAAACTTCACGACCGGTTGTGATGTGTTCCTCGTTCGTTCATTATTATCATACAACTAATACTAGAAACTAATATCTGGAAATTAAGGTATCCCCGAGTATACCCTTGTGTTTTTAATAGTATAATACAAAGGTAATCAAGAATATGAAAATACAAAAGCATCGTTGGTCTTGCATGAAGGTTAGCTTCCTATGACTTATGTAAATGTCTACAACAGAGGGAAAACGTACCACGTCATAATCGTACTTGGGTATTCTGTTCGGATTGAGTAGAATACAGTAACAGGTATACCAGTTTGCAGAGATCACAACATGGGGTATATCCTTACTCATTTTCCTGAACAGAACTGCAGCAGACCCGAGTGCGCCATGGCCACATAGCCGTGCTTCATTGGATCTGGTTAAAGATCGGAGTTTGAACGTCATGCCTGGTGAAAAACAGCAAGCATCCACGTTATTACAGTCCGAGTTTAAATACCAATGTATGCTTATGTTCAATATGGAGCTAGAACAAGAAAGCAAACATCTCATCATTATGGAAATAGTAAAACAATCACTGACAATTTACAGTATGCCTTTGTGTTCTTTGTAATTCGTTCCCTTTACGACATGTATTGTCGCAATTGTTAAAGAATAATCTGGTAACGACAGAACGACGTTTTACATGATACGGATAAAAACAGATTCGGAAATCATATAATAGCCCTTAAATTGAGAAAAGTAGGATGCTTGCTGTCGTACGTTCTTAAATGTCATAGCCAAAATGACGATTTTTTTTGTGAGTGAGTGAGTGGGGTTTTACGCAGCTTTTAGCAATATTCCAGCAATATCACGGCGGTGGACACCCAGTGCTTTGAAGGCCCCCTAGATATAAACATAGAAATTGATATAGATCGTGACGAACGCATTTTTATACTTTTTAGAATTTACCACAACAAATTTGATTTTTATTATTTCTCTTAAAAACACTTAGACCATTTGTCTACATCACCAGATTGAAAGGTGCCTGATTCGCTGATAGGTTGGACAAATGTAGTTTCACCCATGCCCAGCTCGCTGGCAATCTCCTGCATGACGGTGTTCGTCAGATCCTGAAAATGACACACGCTTCAGTTGCAAACTGTGCATACAGATATGTTATGACTTCAGTGATTTGTCTTAATTATAATATGATTATATAATTGTATGGTTGCACTATGTTTTAGGCAATGGTATTACATGTCCATCACGTGACTAAGATATTATTTCATGCACTGCCTGAACACACAGCATGCCCTTGAAGATCCGGGGTAGAACACGTCTTCAGCAACCCATGCCTGCCGTAAAAGACATCTATGCTTGTCGTAAGAGGCGACTAACGGGATCGGGTGGTCTGGCTCGCTGACGTGGTTGATGCATGTCATTGTATCTCAATTGCGTGGACAAATGCTCATGATATCGATCACTGGACTTCCTGGTCCAGATTCGATTATTTACAGACCGCCGTCATATAGCTCGAATATTGCCGAGTGACAACCAGGCCATACAAACCAGTGATTGACATCATGAGCATCGATCCACGTAATTGTGATACGATGGTTTATATGTTGGTTGGATTCGTTTATATAATTGCTATATATTCATATTATAATCAAGTTATCTCAATATAATTTCACACCGGCAATATGTCAGCCATATCATGTCTTGTACAATCAAGAAAAACTTGGTCAACTCACACATCCTAGCGGGAGTAGACATATGGGCGCAGGATTTCCCTTAAATGCTTCATCAGCAAAAGTGTCGACCACAAACATCCGAAGGGACAGGGCCATCCTGTACACGGTGTATATGGTATGTTGGTTGCCGGCCACTGCAATGACGAGGCAATAACCAGTTTAGAATCATTTGTACGAATCGCAAATGTGAGCTGTAAATAGATAGTGACGTAACGGCAGTCACTTCCGGCGGTCGAAATGCGGACAGATATAACACTGACAGAGGCGGCGCGAAAATGGCCAAATCTGCAAGGAAGGAGGAACGAAACACTGTTGCTGTGGCCGATGCAATAGTGACAGCCGATTTACTGAGCCGGATTACATGAAAGAGGTCTTTTTTATTCGTTTTCCGAAACCACATCGTGATTTGGCGAGGTGTCAGCGCTGGGTAACATTCGTGACCAACTCGTGATATTTCGGGACAAGCCGAAAAGCGGCTCGTGCCCCTCTCGTGGACATTTTGGCGACTGGGTTCCGTCTAAGCGTAAACGGGCTTCGGTGAAAGAATTGTCAACTCGTTGCGTAATGATACACGTTTATACCGCTGGATGCAGTGTATTTTTTTTGACGCACATTTTCCTAAGATCTGAAAAGTAATGGCATCTACCTCCGGCGATAAAATTACGCAGAGATCTAGAATATTAAATTTCCTATCTGAAGGTGTATATTTTACTGTAAATATTAAGCCGGTTTGAAAACAAGACACTGCTAAGTGTTGTTCGAGAATGTATTCTGCATTGCTTTCTCCGCTTTTTATCGTACACCGATAAACGCACTGACGTGTTTTTTTATTAAGCAGCTTAACGGAAACTGTGTGAGTACAAAAAACTGCCTGATATCTGAACGACATAAATGTATATCAAATGGATTTATATGCTTGTGTATAACGTTATGCATTCAATAAAAAATATAGCCTGTCGTATATGACGAAAACTGATTTTCGTGGATTACGTCAAAAGACGACAGAGAGGTTACACACATACACATAAAAGGGTCATAACTCAGCTATTCTTAGCCCTAGGTTATTATGTAACTCAGGTCACTTGGTGAGAAATGGATAAGCTGTGGATAAGGATAATATCTTTTCGTGGTGTTTTGTTCACGAGGAACCAAGCTATTCCAATACTTTAAGGTATAAAAAAGAACCGGTAAGACATTTTAAAATCGTACTTCTTATAAAAGGAAGTAATAGTGAAATGGATGGCCCTATCTAACTTACTAATTAGTCCTCAGATTCCAACATTCTCCTGATTGTGCAATTGTAATTTGACTTATGTTGCACCATTCAAAGGGGAGCACTTGCCTTTTCATAAAATCTAATGAATTTATGAAAAAGTGACACCATTATATTTGACGTCGTGGCTGGGTTTATGTCGGAGAAAGACGACATTGGTATTTTGATTAATATATATCTGCCCTAATTTTCGTTCATGGTATGGAAAATGTCCATGAGTAAAATGGAATTTGAGGCTTTTTCGACACAACATAAAATGACTGCTTTTACCATGCAAATAATGTCGTGTATAAATACACCATTAGATAGTTCAGGGTAAAACTTAATTGGACAAGATACGCACCTGTTTGGCATAAATCATACGTAATCAAATACCCAAACGTATATTTCTAAACAAACAATATTATCCTCAATATTAGACATCTCTTTGTTCATTATTATGTGATTATTTCTCTTTATCTCGTCTCAGAAAGCTCCTTGGGTATAGAATTATCAGGATAATCGTATAAAGTTCGACCAACGGGGAATACATGTCACTGTTTATATATTTTATACTTTTTACAATTATTGGAGAAAATAAAATAAACAGTCTAATACACACAATATATAAAAAAGGGTGAACCCAGTGATACAAAACGAGAGGAATAATTCGTAAATCGCGCACCTGGCAAATCATTAGACATCACCGTTCTGTCTATCAAACGACATAAAAAAAAGATTCCAAGACCAAGACAATTCTTCTAAAAATCAGTGCATATATTTTAACAAAAAAATATTATCCAAATTAATGTATTCAGTTATAGTTTTAAAATAGACGAAACGGCTATTCTTTAACCCGTTTATATGAAATTACAATACTGACTATGACACTCCAAAGGAATACGTACGTGTTGCAGTTACATTTCATCTTCTAACACCTGTCTAAAAGAAATATCGAATACGACACTAAAAACTTTTCTTATGTAAACAAATTGAATGTTCAAACAAACAGATTATCAAAGGTTCATACATTTTGTGGCCTACGAGGGTTGCCTAAAAAGTTCTAAGCCTAACTGTGAAAGACCCGTACCAAGTCGATGGTTTTCATTTATTTCTCCACGTGCACATAGTCCCCTTCCAGGTTTACACACTTTTTGCCAGAGATGCTGCAAGGCCTGTATGCCGGTCAAGAAGAAATTTTCTTCAGCCACCCTAAAAAAGTCGTTCACGGCGGAAATGACGTCATGATTACAAGGAAAATTGCGACCGGCTAGTTCCTTTTTCATTTTGGGAAACAGGTGGAAGTCTGACGGGGCCAAATCGGGTGAATAAGGGGGAAGGTCAATGAGTTCGAAGCCACAATCAAGCACCGCTGACATGGCAACCACCGATTTGTGAACAGGAACATTGTCTTGGTGGAACAGGACTCCTTTAGTGAGCATTCCCCGTCGCTTAGCTTTGATAGCTTCACGCAACTGTCTCTGTAGGCCAGCATAATATCTTCCATTGATAGTCTGGCCTTTTTAAAGATAGTCAATCAGCAGAATACCATTGGAATCCCAAAAGACTGAAGCCATCACCTTTCCAGCAGAAGGAACCGACTTGGCTTTTTGGGGGCCTTGTGATTCCGGATGCTTCCATTGTTTAGACTGATTTTTGGTTTCTGGTTGAAAGTGATGAATCCAGCTCTCATCCGTGGTTACAAATCGGGTAAAAAAATCATCGGTATCTGCTTCAAAACGGCATAAAGTGTCACGGGACATCAGGAATCTGACACGTTTCTGATCCGCTGTCAAGAGCTTTGGCACCCATCTTGCAGAAACTTTTGTCATTCCCAACTCGTTGGTGATAATGTGCTCAACCCTCTCATGTGGGATTCCCACAACACTGGCAATATGTCGAGTGTTCAATCGTCGATCAGCCATCACAATGTCATGCACCCAGGTAATATTTTCCGGAATGGTTGCTGTTGAAGGCCTTCCTGGACGCAGGTCAAGGCTCTCTCTGCCACGCTTGAATTCCGCAGCCCACTTCTTTTACAGTGGAAAGGGGGTAATTATCAACAGATTTGGATCATAGTTGTAGAAATATGTTTATTTAAATAGAAACTGGATCTAAACATGCTACATTTGTGTTAAATATTACACATATGTAGATCCTAAATAACTAACCAATAAGTTACATGAGTAAGCATGCAATAATATATTATATCCTATTAAAAACATATATGTTGATTAATATGTTTATGTACATGATAATGGTGGTATATCTCGCTTGTAGGATGACAAGTTACACTTGTGATAAGATCATAGGGTATATATTACACTGATTTTAGCTGTGTGGTAGATCAATATTTTTTGGACAATAGATCAATAATTTATGAGAATTCAGTAGGGGAATTTTAGGGGTTAAATAAATAAATAAATAATATATATATATATATATAGGTTGACAAGTTCTCTAGAAAGAGAAAGGCTCCATCTTCACGTTCTGTACCAGCCAAAAGACTTCTACCTAAAACAGTTTTCCAAAGACATCTGCAGTGACTGACAACCCCTACGCTGACAAGGCAAGTGGAGAACAGCTGACTACCTGGGATACCACTGTGCATACAGGGAGACTTCTAAGTGTTGATGTTGGTGTCAGGATTGACAATATTGCGCTTGAGAATGAAAATACACTTTTGAAATCTAAATTTGATCTTCCTAAGAGTAAACTTGAACTTCATAATTTTAAGTTAAATGACAGTAAGTCTGTTCACGAGCATGTACATGATGAAGACAAACCCAGTAAAGCAAGTGTTTTGATGGTTGTAGAAAGTAGCATGAAGGGTAAGAAGCAGTTTAAGTTTTACACTGGATTAACTGTTCTCCATGTGTTTATGGAATTTTCTTGGTCCTGCTGTGAACTTACTTGTGTACTGAAACACTGATTGCAGTCATCCTGACATATCTCCCTATAAACAAGATGGACCAAGGAGAAAACTTCCTCCTAATCCCAGGAATGAACAGTTTCTTACACAGTTGAGAATGCGCATGGGGGTTCTCTATCAACACTTAGCTTTTCTGTTTGGTGTCAGTACAAATATGATCTCATAAAGTTGTTATTACATGGATTCAGCTTCTTTATTGAATCTTCCAGATCAATTACATCAACGCACCTGCATAGTTGGGATTTGATAAGGTAGTGAGTTGCGACTGTGCCAGCGTTAAAGAGAATGGACGCGGGGTCAACAGCTGAAATTAATAGCCGCAAAGGCCTCTATTATCGAGGAAATATGAAATTTCCATTTGACCTTAAATTTCTTCTCGATCGTTTTGGTCTCCTAAATATGTGTATGCTATTTATCCAACACTCAATCACAAAGTCAATTCAGTAGGATGCGGTTCCATATTTTTAAGTTAATATTTGCATTTTGATTTAATGCTTTGCTAATAGCTGAAATGAAATTTCAGGCCCTTGATAGACAACAATGAATTCATAAAAACAAATGTCACTATTTTCAAAATAATATTCAGAAGGAGTCTTGCAGTTTTCTTAATTTCAGGAGACATGGTAGAGCTGAGGTAATCTAGACTTGCCAAAATTATCTAAACAAAGTGATGACGTCTTGTTGAGAGCAAGAGAAACCGGTCATCTCGTTGCATGGTGGAACGTTCGCGATGGCCTCAATGTCGCTGGGTAGCTGAACCATGGGTCTGACACCGATTCCATGCCCTGCAGACCACGCTTTGACTTACACCAAGGACGTTGGCAAGGTGGCGTTGTGTTGCCCAAGTTTCATGCATCCCAACGCATCTGGCTAATTCCTCGACTGTCAAACGACGTCGTTGAGGGGGCATTTCTGTTTTCAGTAATTGCAGTCAACGCTTGTCAACGGAGTACACGGTTCCAATGACAGTCACAATGGTGGCAAATGTGGTCATCGTGCATCACGTACATATTGTGTCCATCTCAGCCTTCTTAGTGTG